TTTTTTTTTTTGTGTCTGTTACCACTTTTTCTCAGCTCTCACCGAACCGATTTCTTTCAATGATACGTCAAAAGATCACAAATTGTATCTAGTCACGGACCGACTAAAGAACACGTTGTCAGATACTATACATGCGATATCTGTGGGAACAAATCATACGAAAAAGAAACCAATTACCTATTTTGCTTGTGAGGTCACAACCATTTATTCATTTTGTATTTATATTTTAAACAAAGTACTGCGTTTAATGGTTAAATACCACGTGATCATTACATGATTTTCCATTGAACAAACATACGTGAAAAAGCTTTTTTGCAAAATCTAAAATCTAAAATAGAAACAGAACTATTATTATTACGCACACAAAAAACTGTATGTATCAAAAATTTAAAGTTAATAAAATATACTAATACATATATTACTCACTACTGATCGGTAGTGCATTTATCTAGAGCTAAATAGAATTTGAAATATTTAGATCATCATATAGTATATTATTTCTTGAAGATCTGTTTTAAGTTACAAAATGTAATATATAACTATATACTTTTGATACTTTCATCGAAAAAATGTAGTGTTTTCAATTGAATACCTAATTCAATAATAATTGATGAATAATTAATAATAATAATAATTTAAAACCCAACCCTCAATAATTTATGAAAAAATACAATTAATAATAAATTCATTTAGTTATTAGTTGCCATTAAAAGTTTAGGCTTAGAGGCATGTTTTTCTATTTATTAATGTACACTTAATAAATAAGCACGAGATAAAATGTTTCACAGGCAGTTTGCAACTTTTTATTAATTGATTCGAAATATTTACATAAATTCAGCAATTAAAATATATTTTTACAATGTATAACCGGTTGCTTACTTAGGTTGCATTGCAAATTTAATTAGTTTTTCAGTACAACATGTAGTACAATAAATAATAACTTTAAAATATGCTGTAATATTGAAACTTAATAAAGTAAGAGCTATTTAATTTGAATATTCGACGGCAAACTGATCAATTTTTCTTATCTATTAGAGCTCAAGTTAGAAGCCTAACATTAATCAATTCAAACTAAATGGTAAAGTAGGAAATCCGTAGGCAGAGTACAAGAAGATGTACTAGATAATTATAGCGAAATTTACTAGATTTAAAGAGAAAGTAGGCGGACTCCAATTAAAAATCAATATAAAAATCCATTCTCATTCTACAATAATAATTATTTACAACGCTGAAAAAAAAATACAGCAGAATAATTAACAACTCGCTTCTTAATATTGGTATTGGTATGTAACAAAGTAATTCGATTTCTTACAATATTATAATTGTAGAAAGTGTATAAAGTTGCATCAAATATGTAGAAAAGAATATTTTACCACGTAAGTATAATTATTGGGTTTTGTTTTATAGTAAATAACTCATAAATTACCAAATGCGACAAGATGACTAAAAAGTGTACTCGCAGTAATTTAGATCGATATTATATAAAAATTAATAATAATTATTAAAGCGGAACGAAATATTTCTACAGAGTTTATTTAGTTTGATAAACAATCATTCTAGTCGTACGAAAACGTGTATTTTATTTTAATTACTGGTAGTGTTGTAGTTATGAACTGACTTGGGCTTTTGTTAGTTGGATTGTTTCTAACCGACTAGTAATCACTCCAAATATTTTAATGAAATTTTCAGATTTCAAACATTTTTTAGTGTTTTTTACATTAACTACAAACTGAAACAATATTTATATATTTTTTTTACGTTTTCCTTTGACATTCAAACGATAGATATAATAGCTTTTATTCGTCCCTAGTGTAAAATTACAAAACTGTTAATTAAAAACGTATTGTGCAGAGGCCTTTTATTTCTCCCCTTATATTTGCACTAATCCTCTATTTGAGATAAACACAGAAAGAATGTGCAGAAATTAAAATGCAAATTATATCACAGATAGCATGATGAACCTGGTACAGATCCAATGGGAAATAACTTTTGCAAAACGATTTAAACTATTTAAGTTCTGCATACGTGTAATATTATCTTTTTGGTCAAATATTTTTCCCCCGAATAAAGTTTTTCCACAGTAGCTCTTTTGCGATTAAAATTAAAAATTCTTTAGTGTTTTAAATGCTGCTTATTTCTATAATGTTGACTCATGTTTCTTTGTTAGTGTTGTAGTAATATGCTCAATGCTTTGCATGACGCATCTTACAATTATTAATGAAAAATGTATAATCTGTATTTTAAATAACTTGTAAACAATCAAATAATTTATCTGTCATAACAAATATGATGTTCAACACAATTTCTTATTATTTATATATATATATGTCAATTTATCAATTGTTAAATATGTTATCTGAATATAATAATCCTGTAATGCATAATTAATACAATAAACTAAAAAGATTACTAAAAGCGCTGACAACAATATCCCTGGATTGGGGGTAATATCATTTTACTATAAAAAACACTGAAATCCTTTCAGTCCGAGAGAGTCAGGGAAAGACTCCAGAGAGACGAAAAAAAAGAAGAAGTGACAGCGACCAAAAGAGTTCGTTTTCTTCGAATTAAAAGTAACAATTATCAGTCACAGCCCTGTGTTGTTGTCGGCTGACTTTTATGCATTTTATTTATATATGAAAAGANAACTTTTACGCATTTTATTTATGTATGAAAAGAACTTGTTTTAATTATTTATCTTTTGAAGAAGTGCGAATTAAATACTTTTAAACATATATAAACATATCGAGATATTTATCAAATCATTTTGCAGCAATTTGCAAGAATAAAAGAAGTAAGTAATTTTATGTTATCCCAATTATTTGGAGTTAATAAATTTGAGTAAAGGATGACAAAGCAATAGATCATTTATTAAATTAATATCTTAAATGTCAATTTTGACTGGTTGGTTAAAGAAGTTATACATAATCACGTTATATGGTATTCGTGAACTGGCTCTGCCGTCTCGTTGCCGAGGTATTCGTGAACTGGCTTCGCCGTTTCGTTGCCTCTTAGTTAGGACATTAGAAACTAACCAGACAAAAGTTTATTCTACCTCTATAAGAGGAACTTAATATATATTTTTATATCTACTTGTCTTTGTCGTTCTAAACCCTCGAACCATACGACCCCGATAGAACCACAACATCAGGTTCTCACTAAGCCCATCACCCTTCGCTTATTTTCATTATTTTTACTTAACGTTTATTGTTTATTTTATTTGAATTATAACAGTGTTATATTTACTCGTAAATCCAACTCTCAACTATACAAATTAGTACAGATGCTTAAAACACAACTAAAATGAGTTTCATTTCATAAAATTTGTATAAGCCTACTTAAAAAAAAAAGCAAATTTTAAACAGATTGAAAATCATTGAAAAAAATATCTGAGGTATCTTTTAAATCGTCTGGCATTTCATAAACTTTTAAGGAAAATAAGTTAAACGAATTATCAATTTTAAACATTTTTGTTCTGTTTAATAATAACATATAATTAATAAATTAATCTTTATGTTAACTGTCTATATTTATTATTAACAGATACGTTTTTTGTTCGGCTCAATTGAGCATGAATAATACAAATTACCTTGTGTTGATAGAACAAGTGCCTAATAAGATTTAAGATGTACCAGAATGGTCCTAATCTTTTCTTGCGATCCCAACCAAACCTCATCGTTTGATAGACATAAGAATATATGTGTATCGATGCGAGGATTTATTCTCATCTAAAATAATATTACACTCATCTATGCATAGATAATTTGATTAAGTACGAAATACTTATATTGAAACACATTAACTAATTAAACATAAACTTAAAAAAAAATAATAATCAAGATATTCTGAAAAATGTTAATTTTAATAAAGTATACTGAAAGGATCCTTGTTTTTAAGCCATAAAAAAATTATAATAAAGTATTGTCATTGAAAAAATGTTACCAATATATTTTACTAGAATGCTTTAAGACAAATAATAAATATTTTATGCTTTGGTTGAACATTTTTATGTGTCAAATACTATTTTACTTTAATTTTGAAAATAAATTAAAATTAACGGTTCTTAAATCATAAAAAGAGGTCTATGAGCTGACTTCAGAATAATTTTGAACAATTACATGGCACCATTACTACCTTATTACGCTAAACTACCTTAATTCGTAAAATTAACAAAATCGTTTAAAACTACTCTTGCAAAAATAACTGTTTTCTTATACTTGAGTTTCGTAAAAAAAAAATTAAATTCTTGTACTCGTATCAATTAGGAATTAAAATTCAGCCACATGCAAATGATATCTTAGGTTGATTTTTGTACCATTACCGCGGTTATCTTTTAGGACTTAAGGAATCGATAGGAATTCTCTACAAGACCCGATCAACGAAAATAACGTTAATTTTTATCCTCAATCGAGTTAATCGATTGATAAAGTGCAGTCTGTTGGTATTATTATTTTCTTAGCAAGAGAGCGCAGTCATACGATGAACAAATTGTCAATACACTGATCATTAATGATTGAAAACTAGACATCTATACAAGATTGTGTACGTATATGAGGAACTGACCAACCAACCAAAGATTGCAAGAGTAAATATTAAAATACCATTAATGTTAACAAATACTATTATTAAATCACTCGTGTATTTTCACGTTATCTATTTGCTGAATTGTATTAACGAGTGTTCAGTTAAAAAACCATAATCATATATGTATGAGTTACGTTTATAATCCGATTATTAAAATGAGTTGGTCGAAATAATCATAATACTTCATTCTTATGTTATTAAACTTATCGTAACAGGTTTCTAAGATTTATTTAGAAAATTTGGTCATATGAAAATATTTAGAATCATGTTTCAATGATTTCATAAAATATTATTCACTAGGTAATTTAAAAATAACGTTTAATTGTAAAATAATAGCACATATTTTCTATATTTGCGTAAATACGCATTTTATTTAGTATACTTTAATAGACTTTATTTATCCAATACTCTAAATATAACCAAAAAAACAGTTGTGTTTTTTTATATTAAACAAAGAGAAGAGTACCATTTACTAGTATAAAAAGGGAAGACATTTTTTCTCTGTAATCGTATTGTTCATGAATAGTTATTTTTCCAAAATGTTTAAACTGCCTTTATTTTATTTACTTTGTATATGTGGTGATATTAATTTTAAAGTAACGGCCATAAGTGTTTCTGAATTTAATACTTTAGTGCAACACCCAGGGCGGAGACAATTTACAACGCCTGTTGGTGTTGATACATTTAAATACAAGGGTAAGAATTTTGATGGTATAAGAGAATAATTTGAATTAAGTACAATATTCCCATCTGGTTCAGTCACTAATATTATTACAGAAGAGAATTTTAACGATAGAGTATGGCAATTCCATTTGTTATTGGGCGTTCACTATGCTATTGATCTAATAGCTCCTCTCGAATTAACATATTATTTCTGGAAATTCTGTCAACTATATTGCAATAATGATATGAAAAAAAATGCATAGAAAGTTTGGTTGAAAATTGTCAAACCTTCTACGAAGCAAGTAGAATGATGATGAATTCATTACTATATTTTTTTTCAATGGTTGACTTATCCAACATGACTATAGAAAAAACACTTTGTAATAGGATTCATGATATTTTTTATTGTTTGAGGTACTTAGAAGAAATAATAGATCATACAACTACTCACATTATAGAAGACATTTATGAATTAGCGCGAATACATATTCGATCAACTTTTGAATGGCATACTATTAAGATTGACTACTTTTCTATAGAAAATCCAGCAGACCCTCTCCATGCTAGTTGGTGTGAAAATAATATCCCAATAGAAGAACATCTAAATAAAATTAATGAAATATGCAAAACAAATATTAATAAACTTATTGAAATTAGCAATAGTTACGGTTTTAAGTATGATCCAAAAACTCTTGCTGTCACCCTATCAACAGACAATTGAGTACAGTCATTTGGAAAATTTAAAATTATAAAAAGAAAATCTTTATCTATATTTTAATAAATAATAAAACATAATATGATTATCGAATTATTAAAATTTGAATAATTAAGAATAATATTGTGATTATCTTTGATATTTGAAAATAAAATATTTTAAATTATTATATGTTATTATATTTTTTAATTTAAAAAATATTTAATACTATAAAACTAAAAAATACTTTAATTTGTTATAACTAAAATAAAATAAAAGTAGCATTGACGATTAATTGTAAAATAAAATCACATATTTTTTATACATGCGTAAATACGTACTTTTCTATGAACATTTTAATAGAATTTATTTACCCAATACTCTAAATTTAACCAAAAATAACAATTGTGTTTTTTTATATTAAACAAAGAGAAGAGTACCATTTACTAGTATAAAAAGGGAAAACATTTTTTCTCTGTAGTTGTATTGTTCATGAAAAATCATTTTTCCAAAATGTTTAAACTGCTAGTATTTTCTTTATTTTGTATATATGGTTCTTATATTAATTTGATAGTAACGGCGACATACGTTTCTGTATTAAATACTTTGGTGCAACAGCCAGGCTGGAGACAATTTACAACGCCTGTTAATACATTTACATACAAGGGTAAGGATTTTGATGGTTTTGTAGAAGAATTTGAATTAAGTACAATATTCCCACCTGATTCGGTCACTGATATTATTACAGAAGAGAATTTTTACGATAGAATATGGCAATTACATTTGGTATTAGGCGTATACTATGCTATTGATCTAATAGTTCCAATCCAATTATCGTTATATTTCTGGGATTTCTGTCAAAAAAACTGCAATGATGATTTGAAAAATATATGCATACAAAGTTTGGCTAAAAGTTATCAAATCTTTTACGAAGAAATTAGTAGGATGCAAAAATCATTATTTTATTTTTTTACAATAATTCAATTACCCATTGAAATTGTAAAAGATGCACTTTTTAATAGAGTTCATTTTATTTTTAGTTTTTTGAGTGAGTTAGAAACAATAAAAGGGCCTACAACACCAAACAGTTCTGAAAAAACTCTTGAAATAGCGCTAGTAGCAATTCGATCAGCTTTTGAATTTCATACTCAAAAAGTTCAATACTATTGTATAGAAAATCCACCAATATCTCTCCTTAAAATTCTGTCTAAAAATAATATCCCAATGGAAGAACAACTTATACAAATTCAAGAAGTATATGATTCAAATATTAATAAACTTATTCAAATTAACAATACTTACGGTATTGAGTATGATCTAAACACTCTTGCTAAAATAAACAATCTAATACAGTTATATGGAAGGTAAACATTATAAAAAGTAAACTTTTATCTATATTTGAATAAAAAATAAAACATAATATAATTTTTGAATTATTAAAATTTGAATGATTAATAATAATATTGTAATTATCTTTGATATTTGAAAATAAAATATTTTAAATTATTAAATGTTATTATATTTTTTTAATATAAATAATATTTAATACTATAAACCTAAAATAAAATGTCCCATATTTTAAAAACCTCAACGTCATATATTTTACTTTTAGAGTTCAGTGACTAACAAACTGAATTTAAAAATCAAAAAGTTAATAGGAAACTACATAAAATATGTTGAGAATAAGCCAAAGAAATATACTACTGAAAGTATAATTACATATCAAATTTTCAAAAGGATATTTTAAATAATTAGAAAATTTTCATTATAATAATAGTAGTTATCATAGCTTATGTTTGTTGTACATCTGTACTCTAAAGACTAATTTTAACAAATCAATTTTTTTAAATTTCATAGAATAAGCATTTAAAAATTGTCTCACCTCATTTTCGAAAAAAAATGGACTAATGATAGTTTACTTCTAGGGTACAAATATTAAAACCCAACAAAATAATACACTTAGTCAGGTGCAAGTGATATAATATAATATATGGAGTGTCTTATACACCAATTGATACCCAATACCAACAAATGGTTTGTAACACTAAAATCTTGTATAAAAAAAAAAAAAAACCCAACACAGTCGGGTCGTAGCACAGTGGTGTAAACACAGTACTGTTTAATTTTAAGAAATTGGTAGACTATTCCAAAAGCTACATGATCTGATATTTTCTTATTAATATCCTGAATGAAAAAGGGATTATTAAAAAATATTAATTCTAATAATATTTCTTATTATTAGCATTATAAAGTTAAAAATGTAAAAAATAAAATCAAGAATTTTCACACAAAAATAGCCTTCGGTAGCCATTTTCACCATGAAGCCAATTCCAGTGGTCAAATTTTTTTTTTCATAATAAAGTATATTACATTACCTTTAATTTAAAATATATATAAAAGTGTCAGACCTTCCGCAACACTTTCAAAAGTTATGTTGCAAAAGTTCTACTTTTTATATGCATTTTTTAGATTTGAAGCCCCGGCGTATATAGGGAAATGGTCTGATTTAAAAGAAAAGTATGTCGAATGGAAGATGTATATAAATACTAAATTTCATTAAAAAATTTTTTGATCCATACATTTTTTAAAAAGTTATTAAGTTATTAATTTAAGGTAATTCCTTAATTACGCTTTATTTGATATCTTATATTTCTTTTTATAAATATTAGAATTAATTATTATGTTTTTTTAACAATAATTTTTCTTTCTTGAACTTATTTACACGAAAAAATCATATCATCCTTATCATATCGCTTATACCCAAAACTCGTATCGATTTTTTAATGGCAACTCCGATTTTTTTTATTTCATCCATTTATTCAATTGAAGAGCAATTTTTGTTTTAAAAATATTTTTGTATTTTTTGATTTTGAACGAATTACAACTGTTTAAATTTTAAGAATCATCAGACAAAAAGCGTACTTATTTTAAAGACTACACTATTATAATTTTTTATATCAATTTAATAAATATATATAAATATTAATATATTACAATTTTAGAAAATTAGTCAAGTAGACTTAAAAAAAAATCATTTGGTTTTTAATATTTCCAATATCTATGCATTATTAAATCCAAATGAAAAAGCAAACAATAACCAAGAAATATATGAAACTAAAAAATACAAAAAAAAATAAGTTTAACATAATCATTATTTTAAGAAAAATCGAGAAGTTAGTTTTAAAATAATAATTATTTTGTTTTGCACAGAAAATGATGATAATAGAAATTTAAAACTTTTTACAGTCTTCTCGAGTACGCCATATTTGTTTCAATTAAAGTTATTATTCAGCTATAAAATATCGCTCTTCTAGTTTTTTAAGTGATTATTAATCAGTAAGTGAAGTAAAAATAATATTCATTAAAAAATTTAAGATTAGCATTGACGTTTTATTATAAAAAACGCATGTTATTATGTTCATTTTAATAGAATTTATTTATCCAATTATCTAAATTCAAACGACATTAAAATTGTATATTTTTATGTTAAACAAAGAGAACTGTACCTTTTACTGGTATAACAAAGGAAGACATTTTGCTTTGTAATCGTATTGTTCATGAAAACTCATTTTTCCAAAATGTTTAAACTGTCTTTATTTTCTTTACTTAGTTCTATTAATTTGAGAGTAACTGCCATAAGTGTTTCTGAATTTAATACTTAAGTGCAATACTCAGTGTGGAAAAATTAAAAAATAATGAATTGCCGATAAATTTAAATTTTGTGGTCGGAATTTTGAAAATTATATTGAAAGGTTTACTTTGAGAACATTATTTCCAAGTGATTCGGACACTAATCTTATTACAGAACAGAATTTTAACGATAGAGTATGGCAATTCCATTTGTTATTGAGCGTTCACTATGCTATTGATATACAACGTATATTCGTTATAATAATTCATTATTTGTTGGAATGTCAAAGCAATGTTGATCTGAAAACAACATTTGAAGTACGTTTGCTTATAGATTATCCAATCTTTTATAACGAACTTAAAAAGATGAAAAATACATTATTATATTTTTCTCAGATGGTTCATTTCCCCACGCAAACTAAACATATATTTACTAATGAAATTTATAATACTTTAAATATATTGACAAATATAGTAGATAAAAATCAACTTAAACAAGATAACATTTTTAGAAAGCAATTATCGCATGCACAAAATGAAATTGATACATTTTTTGACAGCCATGTTGATCTTGCAATTTTTCTAAAAAGAAAAGATTTAGGAATTACAAGTCGTATTTCTAATTATTCATTAGAACTACAAGCACAAGAAAGTATTCGTACTAATATTATTAATCTTATTGAAATTAATAAAAGTTATGGTTTTCAATATGATCCAAATACTCTTGCTGTTACTTTAAGCTCAATAGATATGGATTCAGTTGGAAGCTCAACCTCATAAAAAGTATCACATTTATCAATATTTTAATTAAAAGTAAAATGTAATATGATTTTGTTATTGTTAAAATTTGATTGATTAATAATAAAATTAATAAAATTTGATTATTAAATTTTAATATTCTGCTCACCCTAACACATATTATAAATATGTTTTTAAGTTTTTCAGTATAAATTGATATTTTTAGTGATTACTTTATTTGGTACATCAAATATAAAAAAAATATTCGTCTAAGAACGGTACTCAATATCATAAAAAAGGTCTAAATGTAAAATAACTATTATTATTACTAAAAATATTATTCACTAGAAAATTTATGAGTAGCATTGACGTTTAATTATAAAATACGCATTTTATTAAGTACATATTATAGACTTTATTTATCCAATAATTTAAATTATTAAATTATTAAATTCTTAAAAAAAGGTCTCCGCGCCCTACTAGTAGAGGGCGACCATAGCACCTGGGACACGAATATACCGTCGATACTATTTGCGTAGCGTAATCGTCAGAATGAAAAACCCAGCACAGGGGGGTCGCGGCATAGTGGTGACGTGGCATAGTTGGATCAAGTATAATGATATCTGACAGTGATTAAAATCACTATAAAAAAAAAACGCTTCGATGCAAATCTTTAGATAGTGTTTAATTTTAAAAAATTAGTGGATTATTCCAAAAGCTTCATAAACTGCTAGTTCCTTATTAATATCCTGATTAAGACAAAGTATGTCGAATAAAAAAGAGATTATTAGAAAATAGTATTTCCCATAAAAAAATTATATTGATCAATACACTTTTCAATAAGTTATAGCATTATAATGTTAAAAATGTAAAAAATAAAATTGAGAATTTTCACACAATAATAGCATTTGGTAGCCATTTTCACCTTGAAGATAAAATAAAGTCCGAAATTTTTTTTTTNAATAGCATTTGGTAGCCATTTTCACCTCGAAGATCAAATAAAGTCCGAAATTTTTTTTTCCATGATAAAGTATATTACATTAGCTTTAATTTAAGTTATATATAAAAGTGTCAGACTTTCCGGAACACTTTCAAAATTTAAGTTGAAAAAGTCAATTTTTTGTGAAAAAGTTGTCATTTTGAATCCCCCCCTGTAGGCAGGTAAAAAGTCAGATTTATAAAAAAAATATACCAAATGATAGGTAAAGACATCATGCATCTACAAAAAAAAGAATTATATTGATCCATACATCTTTCGAGAAGTTATAGCATTATAAAGTTAAAAATATAAAAAAGAATTTTTTTACAAAAATCGTATTTTTTTTATTAAGTTTAATGTCTGTTTTCACCATGAAGATAAAATAAAGTCCGAAATTTTTTTTTACCATTATAAAGTATATTACATTAGCTTTAATTTAAGATATATATAAAAGTGTCAGACCTTCCGGAACACTTTCAAAANACTTGTAATTTTATGTTACTTCATTGTTTGTGTTGACAAATATCTCTATACAAAGACTTAAATAATATTGAAAAATTGACTGGCGTAAAATGTTTATTCTGAAACAAAAAATTTAATAATAAATTATATCACTTTCATACTTAAATAACAACTTATTAAAATTATTAAATAAAATATAATAGTTAATATTAGATCATAAGAAATTTGATTCCAAAAACCTTAATGTAAGGAGGTTTCTAATGATTGTATCTTTGCATTATTAGGTATGTCATTTATATCAAACGCTTACCAATTATATATGATTGTAAATATATCAATGATTGTTGTTACAAATGCTAATAAAATTACAGAATAATTATTACATATACCAGTTAATGCGTAATCCAAAAAAAGGGCGCACAGGTAGATACACAGAACACAAAGAAAAGAAGAAAAAGCAAAAAAAATAAACGGCAATCGAATATTATAAGTTCGCAAACTAACAGTGCGGAACTGTGGTGTTGTGGAATACTAAACGTAGACGCAAGTATCGTAACAACTTATATCTATAATAGAATATGTATATATATATATACCACGTAAGGTATGCAGGAAAACGATTCTTTGAGTCGCGGGTAGACGACACAAAAACTTATTCGGTAA